CAATTTACACCTTCAATAAATCCTAAGATCATGACTCAGAAGCCTGTGACCAATACTAAGTCTCTTAGAGGTGACACGAGTTTGAATTATAAGTTGTGTGAAAGCCAAAACCGCAGTTTACGGAAGAATGGGAGCAAGCTTCCAAAGTTAGCTTGTGTTCGTCCCGGTTTTATGTTTTGAGCTCACAGGAGCTTAATCTGGTTAGTGCTGAGTAGAAAGGGGAGGAAATGGGGTCAAATAGCTCCCAAACGCATCCTAGTGGACTTGGGGTCAACGGCCCTTCCTGATCCCTAATGCTCAGTGGGCCTCCATGGCTGGCTCCCAACAACACGTGGTTGGATTTGCAGTATATTGTACAAGTACAAAGTTGACAGGATATGCCAAAGAATTGGATGGAAGATGTAAGGGAGGCAAGTATCAAGGAAGATACCAGAGTGGCTGATCTAAGCAACTAGAATAAAAGAATCACCATTTCCTGTGCTGAGTGAAGTCAGGCAGGTACCGGAAATGCAGCTTTGCACATGTTGGGTTTTTGATGCCTTTTAGATACCTAAGTGGAGATGACAGTAAGTGGATATCTGAGCATGCAGCTCAGAAAAGAGGTCAGCTGAGACTGAGCACAGCGGCTCACATCTGTAATTCCAGGGAACCTCAGGCGGGAAGATTGTTTGAGCTCCAGACCAGCCTAGGCAACATAGCGAGAATTCCTCTCTGCAAAAAATTTTAAAAAATTAGTTGGGCATGGTGGCACATGCCTGCAGTCCTGCAACTCAGGAAACTGAGTGGGGAGGGTCACCTGAACCTAGGAGGTTGAGATTGAGGTGAGCCATAATTGTGCCACTGCACTCTGGCCTGGGCGATAGAGTGAGACTCTGACTCAAAGAAGGTCGACTGGAGATAGAAATTTGGGAATTTCTAAGCTGATATTTAGGTGGTATTTAGATCACGAGGTGACAGGGAGTTGGACAAATTATCCAAGGTCTTTAGGTAATCGTAAGGACTTAATATTACCTAGGGAATAGTGGTCTTATGATTGAGCCCTGGGATACATCACAGTTAGAGGTTAGAGAGATAAAGAGGAACCTGAATACAGGACAGAGATGGCATAGTACCTTGGTAAGGATAAGCAGGAGAAAGCAGCATTTCAGAAGCTTAATGAAGAAAACGCTTCAAGAAGGAGGGAGTAATACATTGTCAGATGCTGCTGACATGTTCACTAGCAACATGGAGGCTACCGGTGACCTGAACAAGAGATACTTTAGTTGGGTGGTGGGATAAAAACTTGAAGTTCAGGAGAGAATGGGGTTAAAGAAAGAAAAAAACACTTTTTTTTTTTTTTTTTTT